CTGGAAGGCTGCAATTCTTTGTGGCACCAGAGAGTCCTCAGTGGTGCCAAGACCAAGTTGACCATTTTGATTACGCCCCCAACTTCAAAGTAAAAAAAATAAAAAGACAGGAAATCAAAATTACACTCAATGAATAAAGCTTTTTAGAAAAGATAGTCAAATTAACCATAATATTGCAGCATTATACTAGCAAAACCAAGAGTTTCAACTTTCGACCATCCTGCTTTATAGATCATAGTAGATTTTCATTTGAAGGATTGCAGGTTTCTTATCTAGAATGACAAAATTCCTAAACACACATTGGAAAAACATTCAATATACATCATTTTTCCACATTGGAAGCCCATCAACAAAGAGGTAGTAAAGGTATATGTTAGTTAAAGGGTGTTTAGTATTTTACTTATTTACTTTGGGGCATTATTGTAATTACGTTCTCTGATTTCTCCTCCTTCTACTTCTCCGCCCTAGCCCTAAACACAAATTCCTCTCACGAGCTCTAACTTGGTATCAGAGCAGCGTATCGAAGTCAAGCACTAATCTTTGATGTCAGCTGACGCGCACTGACGTCAGCACTTTATTTTGGTCAAAAATTGTACAGCTTGGATCGCCTGATTTTTCTGGGATTTATGGTGGTTTTTGTGATTTGAGTTGAGGCTGTTTGAGTAGATTTTTCATTTTTCGAAACTTTTTTTTAGTTTTGGCCCTTTTGCTTTCGATCTGGATTTTGGAGCTTTTTTTTATTGTTTTTGTTGATTGAGATGCATCACATATGTTGAGTTTAGATTGGGAAAGACCTTGATTGCTGGTTGCTTATTGATCTGCTGCATCTGGGACAACTTCTTTGGATCTAAAAGGTTGGGCTAACCTTTTTTTCTATATATTTGAGATTATTTTTGGAACATTCTGCCTTCTAAATTGTATTTGGATGCTTGGGCTGCCAGAATTTGTACTTGAACTTCACATTGCCTAACAGGTTTTGCACTTTGTTTTTGAGTTTCTGATCCATTTTTTTTTTAATCTGTTCCAGCATCAAGATCATCTAGTGCTGCTGTTTTTTTTGCCTCATAATTCTTATTTTCTGGTCTGAAATTTCTTTTCTATTTTTTTTGATAAGTAAAAAATTCAATAAAAGCGTTCAAAAGGGGAACACGTCCCTCAAAAAACTTCAGAAGGCCAAATAGGGCCTCTAAACCCTCAACAAATCCAAAAACTCTACAAGCTCATCCAAGGATTTACAATTTCTTCCTAGAACCCAACAAAAAAAGGGTGCTAAGGATGGAGAATTTCAATGACCCAACATGATTTTCCTTTCCTCCAAATGATCTATTTCTTTCAAGCCATAGACACTGTTGAAATATATAAATATTTAGATATAATCGTGGAGCAAACTCCTCCACCAATCACGGTGCCTCCTTTCAACCTGTGTTTTAAAGGACCTGTGTTCAAAGAGGATTTTTGGCAAGGGATATGAGCATGATGGCCTCTACTACTTTAGGGATCCTCCACTGACTCCTCAACTTGCTTCAAACCTTCAAGCCTCTGTTCGTCCAATTTCCAGGTCTTATGATATTTTTGGGTTTTGGCTTACTCAAACCGAGAGCCAAGATCTTTATTTATATACAAGAATAGGGTACAAAGAAAGGAAACCAAATCAAAGAAAGACAGAAAATATGCCAAAATCTACGTGATCCCATGATTATAGGGATCTTATTTACGGGATCCCATAATTACGATCTTATCTACGTGATCCCATGATTATAGGGATCTTACGTAAAACACCTAATAAAAGGCTAAAAACAACTAATAAAAATGAAAATAAAATTAATAAAGATATTTCAACACTCCCCCTTAAGCTGGAGTGAAGATATCAATCAAGCCCAAATTTCAAAGATAATTTTGGAGAAAAGAAAATATGCAGATTAAAGAAATCTCTTTATGGGCTGAAGCAATCCCTACGTGCTTGGTTTGAAAAATTCACCAAGGCTGTCCGGGGTAAGGGATGTACGCAAAGCCAAGGAGATTACACAATGTTTTACAAACACAAAGGAGGAGGGAAGGTAATTGCACTAATTGTGTATGTTAATGACATCATTGTGATTGGTAATGATGACACCAAGGTGGATGACCTGAAGAAGTCTCTTGCAAAAGAATTTGAGGCCAAGGAGTTGGGAAATCTCAGGTATTTCTTAGGAATAGAAGTTGCAAGGTCAAAAAAAGGAATATTTCTATGACAAAGAAAGTATATCCTCGATTTGCTTAAGTTAACGGGTCGATTGGGATGCAAATCAGAAGATACTCCTATTGAATTCAACCACAAACTCAATGGTATAACCACAAGCTCAATGGTGGAAAAGGAGAGGTGCCAATGATTAGTTGGAAAGCTCATTTACTGATCCCATACTAGGCCTAATATTGCCTATGCCGTGGGAATTGTCAGCAGGTTCATGCACGCTCCTAATCAAGACCATCTGAACGCTACATTCAGGATCCTAAGATATCTCAAGGGCACTCCAGAAAAAGGAATTTTATTCTCCAAAAATGGGAATATGGAGATTGAAGCCTACACCGACTGGGGAGGATCACTCAGTAATAGACACTCTACTTCAGGGTATTGTACCTTTGTAGGAGGTAATTTGGTGACATTAAGGAGTAAGAAGCAAACGGTTGTGGCTAGATCAAGTGCTGAAGCTGAGTTCGGTGCAATGGCTTTGGGAATTTGTGAGTTACTTTGGCTGAAGTTTATTTTAAAAGAACCGAAGTCGCAGTAATCCTATAAAACTCTACTGTGACAACAAAGCAACCATTAGTATAGCACACAATCCAGTACAACACGACAAAACAAAACATGTTGAAATTGACACACTCTTTATTCAGGAGAAAATTGAAGGCGGCCTAGTCTGTACTCCCTACATCTGATCTAAAGAACAACTAGTGGATACCTTCACTAAAGGTTTGGCTAAAGGACCGTTTCAGGAGTTAATTAGCAAGCTGGGCATGACTGATATCTACACGCCAGCTTGAGGGGGAGTGTGGAAAAACAGATCACCAGAAAATCTAAGATTTTAGGCATGGTTGACCCCAGGATTTGGATCCAATTTATTCAGAATTATTCCCTTAATAAATTGGAATGATTCTTTCCCATTTTAGTCTCTGATTCCAGCTATTTGTACAATTGCAAATCTTTGACTTTGTACATTTATTTCTTTCCTTATTTATAGCCTAGAGTGTAGCTATCCTTTCTTGTATATATGGGCCTTGTACAATCTGTAAACGATGAAGGAAATATAGAATTCCCTATTCAAAAACTTTCCTCACTTCACATGGTGGTGGTAGATATATGATTACGCTGATTGATGATTTTTCTCAGAAAGTCTGGGTTTATATTCTGAAGCACAAGAATGAGACTTTTGTTACATTCAAGTAGTTGAAGACCGTGATTGAGAAGCAAACAGGAAAACAGGTCAAGTGCTTTAGGACAGACAATGGCTTGGAATTTTGAAATAGAGAATTTAATGAGTTCTGCAAGACTCACGGGATTGTGAGACACCACACAGTGAGGAAGACTCCGCAGCATAATGGAGTTGCAGAACGGATGAATAGAACATTATTGGAGAGGGCACGATGTATGTTGTCCAATGCAAGGTTAGACAAAGCGTTTTGGGCTGAAGCTGTTTCTACAGCTAGTTACTTGGTGAACCGGTCTCCATCGACTACTATCGATTATAAGACTCCAGAGGAGGTCTGGTCTGGTTCTCCTGCTAGTTACAGTAATCAGAGAATATTTGGGCGTCCAGCATATGCTCATGTGAATGAGGGGAAGCTTGAACCGAGGGCTAAGAAATACATATTTCTTGGTTATCAGCCTAGGGTCAAGGGATACAAATTATGATGTCCAGAGGTTTTGGGAAAGAAGATACTTGTTAGCAGGGATGTGACCTTTCATGAGTCTGCAATGCTTACTCCGCAGAAGGAGGTAGTTGATTCAGGGAAAGCTCAGGGTGTTAGTGAGCAGGTGGAGCATGCAGAGGTTCAGTTAGAGGATAGTCATGTTCGGTCGACTCACAAGCAGTTGCAGTTTTGGGCTGACAGAGATGCACAATTGCAGCAGTATAGTGTGGCAAGAGACAGGCCTAGGCGTGATATTAGGCCACCTGAGAAGTATGGGTTTTCACATGCTAATTCGGTTGCTTATGCACTTAGTGTGGCAGAGGATATTGATAAGCCGTGTACTTATCATGAAACCATGGTCTGTTGCTATGAGTGAGGAGATTGGGTCTCTTCATAAGAACAGACTTGGGAGCTAGTTAAGAAACCTAAGGGCCAGAAGATTATGGGCTGTAAATGGATCTTCAAGAAGAAAGAAGGAATTCCAGGGGTGGAAGATGCGAGATACAAGGCACACTTGGTGGCGAAGGGCTATACACAGAGGAAAGGGATCGACTTCAATGAGGTGTTTTCTCCTGTGGTGAAACATAGCTTAATCCAAGTTACTTGTTGTGGTTGCTCTGTATGATTTGGAGCATGAGCAGCTTGATGTCAAGACTGCTTTCTTGCATGGTGAGTTGGAAGAGCATATTTATATGCATCAACCTTAGGGGTTTGAGATTTTAGGAAAGGAAGATCATGTTTACCTACTGAAGAAGTCCTTGTATGGGCTAAAGCAGTCTCTTAGACAGTGGTACAAGCGATTTGACACTTTTATGGTTGGGAATGGCTACTGTAGGAGTAAGTTTGACAGTTGTGTGTATCACAGGAAGCTCTCAGATGGTTCGTATTTATACTTGTTGTTGTATGTTGATGACATGTTGATAGCTTGCAAGAACATGTCTGAAATCAACATGTTGAAGGCTTAACTTAGTGGTGAATTTGAGATGAAGGATTTGATGCTGCAAAGAGGATATTGGGAATGGAAATTCACAGGACCGAGGAGCGGGCAAATTGTATTTGTCATAGAAGAAATACATTGAGAGGGTTGCTGGAACGCTTCAGTATGCAGGCACCAAAACCTGTGAATACTCCATTGACTGCCCACTTTAGACTTTCAGCACGATTGTCACCACAGACCGAGGAGGAGGTGGAGCA